CGACGCGACATCAGCTCAAACAAGCATACATGCTTCAAAAACTAGACGGTTGCACTCACGTTTTATACGAAACGACGGTGTAAAGAAACCACTTCAACCACCTTATGACGGACCATTTAAATTAATAAGCAGAACAAGCAAAATCATCACTGTCGGACGCGGAGGAAAGCACGAAAATGTAAGCATCGAGTGCGTAAAACCAGCTTTCATGGAAATAGAGGTGACTGAAGGTTTACCAGAATCAACATCACCTAAATTTGAGCCACAAAATGAGTCCTGCTCTCAAGATTCAAAATCTGATGATATTCCAGCTAACAAAACAGAAAGAATCACAAGATCAAGCAGACGAGTACATTGGCCACAAAGATTTGTACAGCCAATTTATTTCTAAGTCATTTCCATACTTCCTTATTACTGTACTGTTAACTGTATGTAAGATATAAATCTATTCTGTAACTCTTCACAACAACAACCGCATTATTATTCTAATAATTTTTCTGGTTTTATTGTTACATTTTGCACAACTTTCTAAACATTTTGGTTCGTTTCAAAATTGTTAACATTTTCGAATATATACAGTTATATTAACAAACCTTAGAAAACTTACAATCCTCAATTGGGTTGTTATTCCAGAAACCCTTATATATCTCTTCTGTCATTGTAATTAACAATATCATTCCGAATACAGGTAAACTTCATTTACTTGCATTCTACGGAGGGGCTATTGCAGTGACCCATTTTATTACTCATCATCGTAGTATACTTTCACTATGTAATTGGACTTTGATTTGTTTATCACTATATTATGATGATGGTATTAGCTATAGATTGCGTGTTAACAATTGATACTTTTGTACTCGCTCGATTTTTGAATTTTGATTACTGCGATAATACACGATCGTATTCCTTCGCAAGTGCCTTTTGATTTACGTTGTGGATGTCAAGTAATCACAACGTTAGGACACAGTTATAAACGCGAAGAAGTACTAGGATATACATGTACGCTAGTTTGATCAAATAGAGCAACACAATAGTCTTTCATCTTCTAAAAGCCTTTGATAATGCTGTTTAATACGATTGTAGCGGTAAATAATTCCCCAAAATTATTAACCACAGCAATCATCACTCAACATTGGATGCTGACCATCACTGTTTAAGTCGACTTGTTTAGTTGAAGGCTTACGGTCAAGCATCCCCGCCATTTGGTGCTCCGTCGTGTCACGTGCGTGCACGATTACTAGCTAGCTAAGCATTCATCTCTACCCGCGATTTTGTCCCGAAATACACTACGTACTTTGGACGACAAAATCTGGTCTTTTGCTTTACCATTTGGTACTCGAAGAACGAACACTATAGAAGTTGTTGTATATTTTAGTTTCGTCACTGCATTATTTAACGATTATATCTGAGGTTTGAAAACTGAACTCAATTCTCACTAAATTTTGACTAACATTGATGATCCTATTCTTTATTAAAGAAGAAAAATCCTCTCTCGCTTAGCACAGTCCGTGGAATCTGCGAGGTCCATAAACGCATGACACCTAACCAGATTTAGGAGAAAATCTGAACCACGAAAGCCATCTCTTTTACAGCTGGTATAAGTTGTTATATGTTCAGATTGTCATTTCTGAATTTCTAATTAGTAGATTTCATTGGGCCAAGTGGATAGCGCTTCAACTTGTGGAAAGTTTAGTGCTGTGTTCAGGTTGAAGAGGAAATGGCATTATTCACTGGATATTCATTTGCATCCAGATGACAAGGTGCAGATAAGACGAAATGTGTTCGAGCATTTCTGATAAACAGAAACTCTCTAGTTGATAGTAATTATCCAGAGAAGTTCATAAAGAGATATAAGGCGGTCAGAACATGAAGACCCATTCTTCAACTCGTCACTAAGATGGAGGTGTAAATCAAACTACCCCACATTGACGACTTTAGCAGATTAGTAACTAAACCTTAACTTAAAAATATCTTTAAAATGTGTCTGAGGCGTATCCTAAAGTTTGTGAAAGCCTTAACGATTAGCAATTTTAAATTATCTAAATATGTTCAAAAACAGCTCACATTAAACGTTCCTTGGTAAGCTTTGTTTTGATACCAGGACAGATGTACTATTGTCACTCCTCGATTGACCTAATAATCTCAATTGTTATTTGAACCTTCAATATAGCGTTTTAACTCGACTTGTGTCTATTCTCTCAACATATAACACTTTACTATTTTCGTATATGCATATACATTCCTATGACATGTACGTGTGTGATCAAATCGTTCATGTGCAATTCGAATACACTGCATGGCTGAGATAAATTACGCCTTCTGACTGTTTTTGTTGTTGTTTGAAATCCATTAAGGGAATAAATTGCTTGAAATAGAATCAGTTAACGGGAATTCCATATTAGTTTGCCTATTAAATATATCACACACAGTGAAACAGTTTAATTTACTGGATGACAAAGTTTCGAACACAATTTAATGTTCATAATCATATCAGTTATAAGCACACGACTTCGAAACTTAAGTTTTATAGTTTTCTTCATTACTTCCTATTTGTCGTAGGGGTAGTAGAATTTTCCAGATGTCAGGGTGGACAGGTGTTGAATCATTCCTATTACATGTATTTGCAGTTGATTCGATAAACAAAGCTTCCGTGATTCATCTCTCCCTCCACCCTATTTCATTAGATTTTAAAACTGTCATTTTATTCCATCCTATTGTATAGTTGTGTGTAATTGCATGTAGTGCTATAGCTGAACGATTCCTCAGATTTCTTATCTTATTCGGGTCAACTACTCTAGATTTTGCCAGGATTTTGTGCTCTGCTAATCTGACTGCTCCTGTTCTACTACTCTGACATATATATTTGACTTGACAATCATTGCAGGGTATTAAAAAAAAGAAATTGATCTGCTTTATTGGCTCCACAGGATCCTTTAGCCGACAAAGCTTCCCTATCATTGTTGTTGTCATTATCCTGTGCATGTTTGACATACATGTCGTCACTAATATTATTATTATCCCTATCACTACTATTATTATCTATTCTATTCTTACATTTCCCTACATACTTCTTGATTAATTTATCAGAGTAATTATTAACTTTCAAAGCTTTTCTTATATGCCTCACTTCCTTTCTTAGATTTTCCTTGTTACTACTTAGTTTTTGTGCCCTATTACTTAAACATTTCACTAATCCTAATCTAACTTCTATCAGTTCGTGACAAAGTACGAGCACCAGCCGATGTTATCCGAGAGTATTTGTTCTCATACACTCAGCTAAGTGGTCCCTGTTGGTCACAAATTCCTACTAGAACTCCAGACAACTTTACCCTGTAGTAAGTCACTAGTAAGCATTACATTAATTTCCAAGTATTAATTTGTAAGGATTTGACTGGTTTCGCGTTTGACCGTTGGTCGATATCATTTAGAGAACCACTGAAAAACAATCACACTGACAGTGGCGCTAAAATCGCGTATTGAGAGAAGTTAAAACTGATTGTTCATTGGATTCTGTCCCACTGGCTGAATAGTCAATGAGCTTGCCTCGTAACCGGAGGGTGCAGGACTTGATCCTCCATGAGCTTATAGGTGCGTACTGATGAAGAGTCGCAAGCAAGGAAGAAACAGCCGTGTAGTACTCCGTGGTTTTCAGTGGTTCTGTAACTGAAGTGAGTTAACGTTCAAACTTCAAATCAGTCAAACCATTGGAAACCAACACTTGAGGAAAGAGTAATTCACACAGGCATAAAAAATGCTTTATAAAAATTCACTTTCTCGTGAAGTTACAGTAAGGATGACTATAAGACTGGTGTTGAGACCAACTGAGTTGATTACCTTAAACAGAAAGACCACTAGTGTTGCGTGACCGCAGAGCCGATGGGACAACTGATTGAGGTCAATCACACATGACTTGTTTAAAATGGTTTTTGGAGTTGAGTCCGTATTAAGTTATTACCGCCGGCTACGAATCCTCGCAAGGTAAGTCGAAATGTACGACTTTCGAGATCAATATTTTTGTACTCCCCCCCTCCGGAGCGGAGAAGCAGCATAGGCGGCATGCTAGTCATCTAAGGGAAACATCTTACTTGTATTTCCTACTTGTTCCTCAGTAATAGAACTTCGACCACAACCCCTTCCCCTACCTCTACACTATGACAGTAACTGCTTCTAGTCTAATCACTATTCAAAGGACATTTCTGATATGGTAAGATCTTTGGGAACATTAATTTCAACCAGTGTAGCTCTTTATTTCATTGTGATATTCAAGCCCCACCATGGCATCAAGGTATCGGTTATAGGTTGAGAATTGTGCTTAGTGTAAAACGAAGCGGTTAGACAAATAGAAGACTCTACGTGTAGGTAAAGCTTTTAGCTAAATATATTACTGTTTTCTTTCATTAAAAAAAAAACAACAACAACACTGGAATGAAAAAGAAACATTTACAAAGTTTACGACAAATAATAATTCAACATGATTTTATAATATAATATAAATAATCAAAGTATAAAAAGACAGTTAGTTAGTCAGTTAATGCGGAGGCTTAGTAGCCAAATTATGAAATGTAATCAGAAAGTAGGTATTCTAAGCGACTTATTAACCTTCAAACATGAATTGCACACCTATCAAGCAATAATAGTTAGTAAGGAGATAATGAAACAGCACACAATCCCCTTATTACAAAAACCGAAAAAACAAAAAACAGCAACAACATTATCAATAAGAGCAGGACACTCCGCTTCGTTTATACAAAAAACAGGGTAAATTATTGAGAATTTATCAGTGCGTACTGTGAACACAAATAGAATGACAGATATGAGTATCAGAAAGTTTTACAAAGAAATAAATTTACCCCTTTAATGAAAAAAGACAGAAATAGAATTCAGTATATCTTCCTTTTCCAGAAAACAAAAGAAGAAGAAGTTTAAAAGATCTGAGAGTTACTTAGAAATCTTATAATTTTAAACACAATTTCTTTCTTTTTCTATTTTTTTCAAATGGAATGATGATAAATTCAAATTGGTGCCTTTTTAAACAGAAAGTACAGTAAAACAAAAATTGAAAAGAAAAGAATACAATTTCACAACATGTAAAAATAAATATGGAGGTTTCTACACGTGTTGCTTAAAGTTTTTTTTCTTTTCTTTTCTTTTCATATTTTCAGATCATCATCATCAGCATCATGGATCATAACAATCTGTTTATTTCTTTGTTTTAAACTCTCATATAATACTACAACAACCTTCTTCACGTGATTTTCTTTGTTCCATTTGTGGTTGAGAATTTTCAGTTTTCAATTTGTAAATTTCTTTAGCCATTCCATAAAATACCTGTTTTTAATAAAGTAAAACAAGAACAAGTGATAGTTAAATTCTACATTAAGCTTGTGAACTGTATACTTTCACTTTAAAAAATATAAATATATTCAGACTATTTCAGTGATAACAAGCGCTTGTTTAGCTGTGAAAAGATTGACTGAATTTCAGCATTGAACGTTGTACAGAAGTTTAACAGTTTAAGTGTTATCACATTGCATGTAACACAAGATAGTTAGAAAAGAGAAAAAAGATATTCAACATAATTCTAATAAAAAGACTGATTTCAACGTGGGAACTTTGTAAAGACATGTAGCAGTTCCAGTTGCCACACCCCCTCACTTTAGCATAGTACATAAAGCAAGAAAAGACAGTAAGGAGAGTTAAAAGAGAGAGAGATAATAAACAGAAATGTGAGGTAGAAAGAATAGTAATATGTAACAATTAGAGAATTTTATTGGATATTATAAATTACAAGGAGTGAATGCATCTGCGTCAGACATTGAAAACGATTTTGAGCCATATCACTGATAGCCTTCAGCCCTCATTAGTTTTTACCATCCTATAGACCCCAACCAGTCAGGAAGTCTACACCTCCCTTCGTGGCAGGTTGGCTGGCTGATATAAACTAACTACTGTGGATTTCATTGACTGATGAAGCCGTGTTTTGGTTTGATCACCACTAGGTGTTTGCCAACCTGATCCATCCTTTGTCAGTCAGCTAACATTTCTTGTTGTTGAGGAAGGCGATGGCTAGGGATGCCTGCGTAACACATGTCCTAACCATCTCAATCGATATAACTTCACAGCCTAGTCGATTGATTTCCCCTCCTACCTACCTAGCACTTGACTGAGGCCTAATTTCAATATTGCTCGCCTTGTTATACCACGTAACACGGGAGATAGGACGCAGGCACATATCATTAAGGACAGCTAGTCAGGCTTTGCATGTCTTCCACTTTCAATGGCCATATCTCGCAGCTAGCCATAAGAGAGGATGGAGTGAACTGCTGGGAAGTACACACGTCCTTCAGTTGACAGCTAACCGGATGTCACGTCTACGCCAGAGACGGCGTAAGCTGGCATATACCAAGCTAGCCTTCTGTATCCGTGCTGAGATTTAGTCAGCGATCAACCCACTAGGTGGCAGTCTGGTACAACTTCCCAAAAAAGTGAAGTGGTCAACACGCTCTACTACTTCACTCCCTGCCTATCTTTAAGCTAGTAGTGAGTCGATGTAGTCCAGTCCTGTAGCATCACCTTACATTTGACAGCAGGAGCGAATCGCATGCCAAACATCCGAAGATTGCTGTCTGTCAAGGTGTTCAGAAGACCCTGCTGCATTTTGTCAGTATCTTCACCTAGGTGGGAAGACTTTATCATCTGCATATTCTAAGTCGACGAGATTATTCCCTGGTGGTAACAAGTTACTCCCTGAGTTGCTGAAGTCAGTTAGGGTGAAGCCAATTAGTACATCTATGATGAAATTAAAGAGAAATGGGGATAGTGGTAGGCATCCGTGACGGACACCACAGGTCGTCACCACTTCAGACGACAACTCTCCGTAGGCTCTCACCTGGCTGGCTGCATGAATTCGAGTAGAGTGCCTTGATCAGTGCGATGTATTTTCCGGCACTACCTTCACAGCCAGATATCGCTATTGTACCTCTCGGTCGACAGAATCAAATGCCGCTTTCAGGTCAAATAATTATAATAAGAAATATGTGGGGGAAAGAATAATTATACGGAAAGATATGAGAATTTAATCGATATGGGAGATCACACAGGGTGAATGCATCTTCGATATTGATAACGAGGACTTTGAGCCTTATAACTAACAATCTCCAGGCATTGGTTCTTAGCATGCTGAGGACTCCAACCAAGGATGGTCTACACCTTCTTACAAGATTGGCTTAAAACAACTATCAAAGACTTCACGTACTGAAGTGAACTTTTGGATTGACCATTGCGAATTGTTTTCTAATCCAACCCATTTGTCGGCTTAGCTACAAAAACACTTGTGAACAATTTTTTGTTGCCTGGTGGAGAAAAAGTTTAACGATAAATACAGTCTAATCTTGGTAGCAAAAAACCTACTGATTAATCTAATACGTTTGTTTATTCCTGATAATCCTATACAAACTCTGACTTCGCTAATAAATAAGAAGAAGTGAGATTTAGGTAACTTTTACCTCAGCTGAAGCAGTTGATTCATAAGTTCAAATTGACAATTTGTATGAAAAACTAAGTAAAAACGTATACCATGTCAAATAGATTCCAATGTGGGGATACTTTTAGATTACTCTCTATTCGTCTAACCAAAAGCAGACTTTCATTGGCGGCTACCTTTGCTTCATATCGAAGACTAGATGAGCTTAAAGGATTAGCAACATGGAACGCTGGCAACATAACAACCAAAACTTGACTGTTCAACAAATATGCCTAAGAAAATAGAGATGGATAAGACACACCATGAGGAGAACGTTAAGTGATATCTCGTTATGCCCTCGAGTAGAGTTGGGTATAGGTTTGAGGGTGAGGAGGAGATGAGAGCTTATGCACAGTCGTAGAATCAGCTAAAATGGATTGTAGATGACAGCATTAAATGAAAACATGCTGTTAAAGCCCAATGTTCCACTCAGAACCTTAGGGAATAATGATTTAATTTCCTATTCTTTTGACTCTGTTTAGGTGTTTTTGTATCGTGCAAATTTTCTTTCGTTATTCAGTGTCTTCTAATCACTAGATTAGAAATTCTTGTAAAATATCCACATTTATCTACTACGTATTTAAAACTGTAAAGCTAGAAAATTTATGAATTTATCTTGAAGACAAAGATCTTTATATTCGCTGAAGCTATTTGCTTCATTTTACTATTCTGTAAAGGAACTTCTGATATACTTTGAGAATAGAATAGTTTCTTTTTTGGCATCATTCAGTGACACATTTAGATCCATATAAGAACACTGAACAAATGTGCATGAATACTTAAAGATGTTTCAATCCTTCAACTCTGGGGTAATTATTGTTTAAAAATCTTTTACTGGCTATTATTTTGTTTAAGTCAATTTTTGTTTTCCCTTTTAGTTGATCTGACCGAAGTGTTCGGCCTCTGTTAACATGTCGGCTCCCAGTATAAATGCTACGACAACATCTGAGGATTAAAGTGATGTTATTTGATGAATGGTGGCTAGTTTTGGAGCTAGTGGGTGCTGGGTTCGAGTTTCAGTGAGAACACCATAAGTCACTGACGATAATAGGTACATCCAGATGACGAGTCCAAAATAGGAGGGAATGCGCATCATGGATTACAATGTCAGTCAGTATCCACCTATACAAAAACTATTAATGGCTAGTTAGTAGAAAAAGTTTTCCTAAATCCAAACTCCATACTATGACATTAAACTCCCAAATTCCTTCTTTCATCAGTTAGAGGACTTTCTGTGTTTGCCAGTCTCAATGAAGGACGTCAACTGCTTGCTGAATATCTCCCACTTCATATGTGATATCAATAAATTCTTCAAAAACTGAACAAGTCATTTAATTACTTTCCTTTTGTTGTAGACAAACAGTGATAAGTGTGAAAATTTCAACCATATAATCTAGTGAGTTCCAACTGAAATGCGTATTGGGCAATCTTCAATCCAATTCTCTGTTATTGAATACTACGATTGATTTTCACGTGCATATTTCAGACAGTACTGATAAGATCATTTTATTTATTGATAAAATATTCAAAAAACAAAAATAAAAAGTCATAAAAAAAACACAAAGACTATAATTTTTATCTCGGACTGAGATAGCGAAAGTGTAGTGATTTAGTCATTATAATTTTTTTTCAATGATATCTGAGAATACATCAGTTTATTCTAAAAGTTCTCTGACCAGTTTAAGGATACATGCCTTACAGTAACACTTTACCATTGGTTGAAACCTTCAATGTTTAGCCCACTTATATATAAGCGAATTTGGGATCTAGTGTAGTTTAGTAGTTCACTATTTTAGTAACCGTTACTGAGTCTCTAAAATGAGGGAGGGTTGAGCATAGGGCTAGCGAAACTAACCAGGAAAATCAGCCCGATCGTTACAGGAACTTGGGAGCACAACAGAAATATAAAAGCAAACTTCTTCTTCGCCGGAGTCGAAGAGACACGGGCTGCTGAAAGACTTCGCAAAGCCAGTCAATCAATGTGTCTGCTTTCGATGTGAACAAAAATAAGCATGTGTGTGTGTGTGTGTGGAATGTTCATACAATGTACAAATCTGGGAAGACTGCTCAAGTTTCCAGAGAAATTTGGAGATACGGCATCGGTTTTCCGGGAATCTGCGAGAGCATGTGGAATGGATGTGGACCAAAGAGTTAGCAACCTACTCTGGTCACGCAGACTCACATTTAGGGAGTGGCTATCATGATGTCACCAACAGCATGTAAAACTCCTTTGTAGTGGGAACCACTCTCATCCAGGGTGTAATGACAGCAAATTTAGCTCCAAAGGAAGGACGGAAGGTCACAATTACCCAATACCATGCTCCTACAAACAATGCAAGTCAAAGGAAGGTGGAAGATTTCTATTGACAACTCATAACAGTAATGCGTCAGATCCCAAATTGTGACATCAAAATCCTAATGGGTGATTTGAATGCAAACACTATTAGGAGCAGACAAACCTTTATTACTCTGAAATCAGTGCAGAAATTCGCCGCACTCAGCATGAGGGACAAGATCCGGATCTTCAGCACATATGTCAAATCAGTGCCTTTATATACTTCAGAGATTTGGTGCTTGCGTTGTTTACAGCATTTCAAACAGGATGACACAGATTTTTGGCAGGGGATTATTGAGAAATATTCGTCATTAAATGAGTTTTAATTAAGAAATGCTAAGAACAAAATATAGTCAGTGAATGGCATTTATAACACTACAGACTTAATGTAGGATTATTTTAAGTTTTCACTGAAGCCGTAAAAACGTTAACCGTTTTTCATCTTAAAGTGCAATATGGTCTTTGAAAAAGGGAATGAGTCTGTGTAGTTACGTCAACCAGTTAATCCTTCTAAACTAGGGGGGGGTATTACTGACCAGATGGTATTTAGTGATTTTAGCCAAACTGATCTGATGCTTAATAAGAAGTTAAATTAACTATCACATCAAGTTTCCTGAATTAGACTTATTGTTTAGGCGTGAGTGATACTAAGTGGTTGTCTAGAATTCCATTTGTGGAGTGGAGTTCAAACCTGTGTTAACCCGGCGGGAAATAAGGCATACTACAGACCAATTATTTAAAGTTCCATACTGGTGCACACTCCTTCTGGCATTCTTTTATTCCATTTTTTCTGCACGCCACTTTATTAATCATATCTATTATTTGAGGACACCATCCTAAAGTAATGAGATTGTCTCATTGAAAGTGGAAGATATGGAAAGGCTAGCTGTCTTTTATCACAAATGTTTACGTTCTGTTTTCCTTGCTAAGAGTGGTATGATATGGTAAACAGCATTGAGGTTAGGCAAATAGTACTGGGTAAGGAGGGAATGTCAGTCACTGAGGTCACGAAGCTACATTAACTGAGATAGCAGGGGCATGTGTTGTACATCCCGAGTCACTGCCTTCCTCAACAAGCAATGCTGGTTGATATGCGTTTGTGAAGGAGAAGAATTAGGGTTGGTCAAATCATAACCTAGAATCCCTTCATGAAGTCTTCGACTATTGGTTTGAGTTACATAGGGAGGTATAGATTGCTTGTTAGGAGGACTTCGTGGTGCTAAGAAACACAATATCTGGAGATTGTTGGTGATATGGCTGAAAATCTTCCTCAGCGGTAGAGATCCACTCTCTCTGTTTGGGATCTCCCCTATCGATTAGACCCTCATGTTTTTCCGAATCCGAATATTCTTACTTCCTTCAAACATTTCTTCTCATTTTTGTTCCTTTCAACAGCTTTTGTCTCTACCTTTGTGTGGAATGGAATGGAATGCAGCAACTTTAACTGGTGCATTTCTGTGCCAAGTTGTATGGTGGAACTCAGTCAGTCATTCAGTTGAATTTCTCATTAAAATAGTCGTCTTCAGTGGAGTACTGTCCATTTAGTTCATTTAAATATTTTAAGTTAACAGGTTTTCACTTGTAATTATTTAGGTCTCGTTAGTTACTGGAGTGACATACTTTAACAGAATAACTTTATTGATCATTATTTTCAATGCATAGCAAAATACTCAACATATTCAGTAAACCGGTAGGTAATAAGCCTACACATTCAAACAAAAATACTTTCTGATTTAAACTGTGGAGGGAGGCCAATTTCAATAACTGACATATTTAGCTAACGCAAAAATGCATTTCACTTATTCAAAAAAAGAAAACTGACCTCTTGAACATTTACATTTGCTTTAGCTGAAGTTTCCATATACGGTATATTCCAGTGTCGTGCTGTCCTTAGAGCTAATTCTGCTGAGACTTGTCTTTCATCAGTTAAATCTGCTTTATTCCCAACAAGTACACGTGGAGGACACCCTGATGGTCGAACAATTAAAAATCTTTCTCTGTATGAAAAGATAAAGGGAATGATAATTTTATACATTTAAAATTAAAGCAGCACTGCATCAGCTATGCATATTGTCTGAGGTTCGATCCTAGGCCAATGTACTTCTAGCCCTCACCTCGCTGGTGGTAGTAAGCTCGGTAAAGAGGGTGGGGACTGGCGTGAAACTAGCAACCTCACACTGTAAAAAAGAATAAACACCAGTGCTATTGAAACTTCAGCTCAAAAAGCTTGAAACCATCTGTTCCATACGGAACGTAGAGGAATAAAATGAATATAATAATACTTATATACAATGTTTACATAAATATGAACAATAAGCTATTTTAAGTGATGGATAGTTATTCGTAGAAGTAATGGTCTAGTTGTAAAGCCTCTGACGATACTACATTCCAGGAGATTCACAAAGGAAAACTCAGAGAGATCTTTGAAATCAATACAGTAGTAAGACAAGGCTGCCTGCTATCACCAGTGATATTCCTAATTGTGATTGACTAGACTGTGCAGCGTACCATGAGGAGACAGATGACAGACATTCGCTGGAGTAACGAGAAGACCATAGAAGGTTAGGGCTTCGAGGATGATTTATGTCTGATATCACAGAAACTAAAAGATCTACAGGTTAAAGCCAACAAGCTGGAAAATGAGGCAGGCAGCGAAGACAAGACTTCAAGAGAACTTACCTAACTAATGAAGACAGGCGCCAAATCATCATCTACGGGATAAATCTCAAAGAAGTCACCACTTTCACTCAAAAGACGTAGATAGTATCATTTCATCTGCAGGCAACACAAGATGAGGATGTCACCGCCAGGGTGGTAAAAGCAAGATAGACCTTCATCACTCTGTAATCACTGTGGGAATCAACTACACTCAGCATAAGGAACAAGATTCGGATTTTTAACACTAATCTCAGTAAGATCTTCTCTATGGTTCAGAGACTTGGCAAAAGCATCAAGAAAAGCATTTCCAGCAGGCTACTGCAGACTTTTATCTACAGGTGCCCCCCGATCCATAATGAAGCTCAGATGGTTGGCCAGAAGGGATAAGCAACGAGGATTTTTGGCAAAGAACCAACCAAAAGTCTTTCGCCAAACAGAAATGTTGACAAAAATGGAGATGGATTAAACACACGGTGAAGAGACCGTTGAGTGACATCATGTGGAAAGCAGGCCATCAAGTGGAATTCGACGAGGGAGCAAGGAGTTAGGCGTCTAAGGGCGATATCAAGCAAATCTTGTGAGGAGGAAATGAGCAGTCGTGCAGACTTCAGAGAACGGTGTGGAATATCTATGTACTACTGAGGCCTTATGTTCCACTCATGAACCAAGAGAAATATAATAAATTGGGCTGGTGACGAATCAGTTCATGAGAACAAGCTTAGGTACCTTTTGCTTTACATGAAGTTCAATATGCTCTAAGAAGAAAATTAGGTCATAAATTCTTTTCTCTAATGTATATGCATTAATTTCAGTTAGACTGGTCATGATAAAATCTATTTGTGCGCTCTGAGTTGTGAGTAAATCAATACTTTCGTGAGATAAACATATGTAAACTATCAAGAGATCTATGATACTTATGTGCCTCAAAATTCTAGAAGTGGAGGAAAAAATTTGAGATTAGACGAATCTAGTGATTGTGTCAAATGAGCCATCTTAAAGTGAATTTATCAGTTCAGAAGACCAAAATTTCACCTAGATTATTCGATTCCGTTTACATTTGTATGTTTACCTGATTTTGTTCGTCAACATATGCATCTTGTTGTGCTCAACACCACCTGCTAGTTTGGTAGAGCAAGGGAGAACGAAGAGTCGTTCATTCTTAAACATTACAACATGAAATAGACCGTAAAGACATGGTCTCCGATGCGTCATTTAATTAGTATTTATAAGATTACAAATTGGAAACCAATCTGGAAATTTTCCTCACCCAACATCAACAACAAAATTCGAATTTTCAATACAAACGTCAAGTCAGTTTTGCTATACGGGTCAGAAACTTGGCGGGTCACAAAGAATATTTCCAACAGACTGTTGCAGACCTTTATCAACAACTGTCTTCGTTCTATACTCAAGGTCAGATGGCCGGAAAGAACAAGAACCAACAAGAAACTATGGGAAGAAACAAAACAAGAACCAATCGCCCAACAAATATGCAGGAGAATGTGGAGATGGATTGGACACTTGCTGAGGAGGCCGCTGGGTGACATCGCGCGTCAGGCCATCGCTCGAGTGGAACCCGAAAGGGAAGTGGCGAGTGGTTCGTCGGTGCAAGGGTAACATGGAGGAGATCGTGTGAAGAGGAGTTGAAACAGTATGGACTAACATGGATGCAAGTGAAAAGTACAGCACAAGACAGAAGCAAGTGGAGACGTGTAGTTGAAGCCCTATGTTCCACTAGGAACCCAAGGGAACAATAATAATAATAGATTAGAGAGAATTTGTTACAAAAAAGTGCGACTACATTAGGTTGGTGCAGTGGAAGCCTTGATAATAATAAAAAGTCATAATTCTGCTTATAAAAACAATACGTGTAGTCCCTTCTGTTACCTTGGAACTGATTTGTAATATTTTTTCATTTCATTCGCCTTCAAGACGCATTGTAAGACTTCAGGCTTTAAGATTTGAAGTCTCAGTAGCGCTGGTGTTGTTTTCACGGGTATGTAGAGTTGCTAGCTTCACGCCCAGCCTTCTCTCTTTACTGGGCTTACTACCGGCTAAACGAGGCATAAGAATACGTTAATCGGGAATCGAATTCAAACCACACTCAAGATTGGTAACCATTCTACCAATGAACTATCAACTTATTTCGTCAAAAAAGGCATATAAAATAAAATAAATGTTTGTTATTTAACATGAAAAGTCAAGATGACTATATGCTGCTTCAATGACAACAGTCGACCAAGTAACTTAAAGGCCCCAATTCTGATAAAAATTAACCAAAAACTGTCGTTTTCAAAAGGATGTTAACTGATGTAGAACGGTTCAGGAAGAATACACGATAACTTTCAATGCATCCTTGTTATCAGCTCTAGTTAGTCCGAACAAATAAACCCAGAAAGGGGAATATACAAAGTCAACAAGCATTTAGATGATTCGTAAACTGACGAATGAGTATAGAAAATTGAACAGAGATTATCATTTCAAGTTGTAACAGTTTTGGATGACCTCGAAATTGTATCAGTAGACACATCCTCTCTACCTAACACTGTGCCTAATTTCAGCATTACTTAAAACGATACACCACCTAAAAAATTCAAGCTGTAAATCAAAATCAAATAAAATATATTCATATATTCTCTACTTTTAACATTCATGTCTCACAGCCGTAGAGTAGAACAGTATGAGTCTTTTAATAGGTAGTTAGATTACTCACCAATGCAAATTAGTGAATGCTAAACGTCAGGTTACCTCAGTGACTAGTATTGAAGGGTTTATATAATTTCTCGGGTATTTGAAATAGTCAGCACGAATGAAATTCACTCATAAAATCCTATTTTCTTGTCAAAACTTAATGTTCTGTATTCTCAAAGGTCTTTACTTTATCGACTTGGTATTAGTTAAACAAAATCTTTAATTAAGTTTCGGTGAATATGTATTTCTCTTAGGTCTTATCAGTCTCCCCACCGAGTGATAAGACATTTGTTTTACATTCACTTGTGTATTTGAAAGATGGAAGTGATCACTGAATTCTAAATTATTTGATTCATATTTTTCCTGAAAAGTTTTTTTCCTTCACGTTCCCAGTGGAACACAGGGCTTCAAGCTATAGGTTTGAAGTTTCTGTAACAGTGTTTAATTTTTACACGATGGGGTTGCAAGCCTCATGCCCAACCTCTCCTCTTTACCAGCATTATCTCTGGTTTAGCGAGGTGAAGGATTGCGTCGTTGGCCGGGGATCGAACCCCGGGCCATGTGCATGGTCGGCGAGCGTCCTAACCGCTATGCCACCGACGCACTCCTGAAAAGTTTAAAACCTGTTAACTGTTATGTGTATCTAAGATCTCATGTGGTCTGATTTTGCACACTTATCTAATGAAAGTTTGAGCTGACAGATAAAATCAAATTTCGAAACAATGAACAGAAAAGCACTTACAGAAGAGCATCAACAGCTTTGAAAGACTCCATATCAGTCAGTGAAAACACTACGATAAAGCCATCACCGCTTCGATAGACTGTGTCAGTTACACCAGCAAAAGATTCTTGACCTAAATGTGAGTAATAAAATATAATTAAAGTTAGATTATATTCATTGAGTAACATGATGTTCAGTCAAATAAATTCATACAGTTTCAAGTTTAATCACGAACTGGTATCAGTTAGGGGGAACCACTGAAAACCAGGCAACACTGGAAAGCTGTTTCATTCTAGTTTGGGTTTCTTCGATACTACGTGTCGGTGGCACAGAGGTTAGGACACTTGTCGACCATACACATAGTCCGGGGTTAGATCACCGGCCGGCGCACAATTGATATCGATGGTCGGCCGGTTCAATTTGGGCCACCTTTATCACATGCTGAAAATTTCATACTTGTACCAAAATACTGTGTGGAATCAAGCTATAATAAAATAAAATTAATAAAAAATAAAAATAATCCTACAGCTAGGAATCGAGACCAGGACCTTCAGATGACGAGATAAACTTGCTCTTCGTTCAGGATTTTGAACGGAATACATTAATTCTTTTTGTACATCAGTCCTGATAGAATATTAATAGCAAGGCACTGTATGAATAAAAACTTAGGCATATATATTTTAGTAAATGAAATATCCACATATTGAAATCAAAACAAGATTTTGAGCGAACAACTGTTTTCGATAACTTCTTCTTCAGGCTCTACAGTTATAAATCCATGAATAATAGAGTACATACAGCCAATAAAGGCAAATGAAAATAATATCAGAAACTGTATCATCTCAACTTACACATGCACCCGAATACAGTTTCTGATATTATTTTCATTTGCCTTTATTGGCTGTATGTACTCTATTATTCATGGATTTATAACTGTAGAGCCTGAAGAAGAAGTTATCGAAAACAGTTGTTCGCTCAAAATCTTGTTTTGATATATATTTTATGTTAACTGAAGGCATGTCTGGTGAAAAGAATGCCTATACTGGTCATACCAACAGAAAGTCTTCAGATGCTGTGTTCTCAGCATTCTGCAATACTTTATTGTAATTCTAAAAGTCTTAGAAATCACTTGTTACAGATTCCTTATGTAGTGAGGTTTCATAGCAGAACCTATGCGGCTGAAACTCAAAAACACTACGCTTCACTCTGATCATCCCTAAAAATAGTATCTTTTTTGAGTTCAAAATAGATTAGTCTATACTACATTTAACGTATTAGAAATTCCTGAGACATGATGCAATTATCTTTACCCTAGAAACTGGCAAACTGAATTTTTCGAATATAATCTTTTTTCCACTTGATCTCTTTATGTTTAAACACTAAAAATAAATTTAAACTATCCGATCAAATCATGTGGTAAGAGAATTAAATAAATTTTAAAAAAATATTAGTTAAACATAATCAATAATCAATACAGGTGACTAGACTTATTGAATATATATATATATATATATATATATATATATAGAAGCTTCGTGCTCAAAAGTGAGTCGGCTGGTATACTTCAAAGAAGCTTACTACATACATAAAATAAGAGAAAAGTAGTGTAATATAACAAACAGTGAATTCTGTTTCTATACCAGAAGTTGAACTATGAAACATTCTCATTTAAACTGATTTTAGGAAGATGTGAACATGCTTTATTAACAACAATAGGGGAAGTCAAGTAAAGAAGAGTCCCGAATATGATTACGAATTGAGTTCAGTGAAAGAATCGTTGTAAACCACCAAGAAGTACTGGATAGATGTTTCGTCGTTGTTTAGGACTCGTTAGCAACACGCATATATGGTCACTTATGTCTTATACTCTGTAGTATTTAAAAGAGTTCAAACACACACACTGTAGCACTATTCCAGTGTTGAAGAGAATGGAGACAAAATACCTACTAACCATTTTCAAAAAGAGTGAATATCCTCACAATTTCATCACAAAGTGTTTGAAACTCGAATCATAACACCAACAACAAACCACCATTAAAGACCACAAGAAAATTCATCCTAACATATATAAAAAGTATCTCTGAAATAACAGCTAAAGTATTAAGACAGTTTGAAATAGATATGTGGTGAGAGCTGTCTACTAGCCAAATTGGTAGACAGTAATTTACGTCAATATTTACGTTCCCAAGATTTGTCGTGAGAAAATGTGAACAAAGATTGATTCAAAACCGACCACAGCATACTTTGCGTAGGCGGATGCAGTTAACATATAGAGGATTTGACATTCAAGAAACAGTCACAAAAAGATGAAAGATTAACTTTACGTGAGAAACAACCAATCGGAAGACTGTGTTTGTTTGCTTAAATAGCCATAGTAACGTACATGCAAATATATAAATATGCGTTGATTTCCTTAATAAATGATCTGTTGCCTGGCCCTTGTCTTCTGTTGTTACAGATATAGCACACAAGCCAGCCAAAAATTGGCTGTAAAAAGACATGTTATATATTCTTTCGTATCAATGCATGTGGATAATTATGGACACCAGTTTGATTGTGAGGATGTAGAAATTTTAATTAGAGGAGAGACCGAAAGTGCCACAGAAATCCTAGAATCCTGGTACTCAAGTGAACCAGCAATCAACAAACACATTTTTATGGACCAAATTTATCAGCAAATAAAAAGTAAATCATATAACAAGAAAGTTCAAATTCCATGTCAATAAAAATGATGAATAGAGAAGTAGATTAACAACGAGTCACGACAGTGGTTGCCAGGAGAAACAGTTACATCATTCAAGGAGAATTTAAATAAGTCCATTTTAAACTAAAATCTGCGCTGAAGATTTAATCTAGAAGGGAGATGACGAAAGCTTCGCAATTAAATTAACCAGCTTAGAGAACACAACTAATTCAATATCATCCACGTGAGCTACAAATCTTCTCCGGTATTCAATATTTCTCAAAACGAACTCAATTAATGATTAGACTATTTTAGTTTTTTTTAAATTTATTTTTTATCCCTTCACGTTCCACAGTGGAACATAGGGCTTCAAGCTAGAGCCAGCTTGAAGTTTCTGTAGCAGTGTTTATTTTTACAGGATGGGGTTGCTGGCCTCATGCCTAACCTTTCCTCTTTACCAGATTTTATTTCTGGCTTAGCGAGGTGAAGAAGGGCGTCGGCACGGGATCGAATCCCAGACCATGTGCATGGTCGGTGGGTGTCTTAACCCCTATGCCACCGACGCATCAGTCAATTAAATCCCTGTAAGTCAACACTTGACCAGTAGGGTGCAGCAGGTCGGGCGTGAGGACAAATACTCGCCGAAGACATTGGCTAGGGGTCGCGCTATGTCGTGAATTGGCAGAAGTTAGAATTCATGGACTGGCCATTGGATTGGGTCCCAGTGGCTTAATGGTCTAAGAGCTCGCCTTGTAACCAGAAGGTCCTGGGTTCGAATCTCGGTACGTACTGATGAAGAGTCCCAAACTAGGACGAAACAGCTGTCCAGTACTCCCAGGTTTTCTAATGGTTCTCTAACTGATGTCAGCTCATGATGAAATCCTGTAAAGAAAAATTAATTAGAGTTTTAAAATGATTTCGGACAACAAAATGTCTGATTGTTCAAAAATTTAAATTCCAGTTTTTTATATCCTGATGGTTTGTTCATTTACCGCACACCGACAAATCTTAACTTAACCTTAAGAGTTCGTCTACTACATATTGCTGAGGCTGGCTTTTAGGAGCTACATTAAGAAACCCAATTTATGTATCCAAAAGAAAATGTTGGTTCAGACACAGTCCTTACTTTGGCCATCAAGGTTTTAATGATCCTCTATTTGTTGTGGAAATTTCCTTAATTTCACCTGATATTCTATTTGCTATTACATTTTTGTGCTTATTATTATTATTTCTTGGGATGTGATTTCATTAATCTTAACAAATCGATAGTATTTAAAAAAACACCAATATTGTTAATGACGACTATTCTAGAATATTCTATGTATATAAACATATTTATGTATATATATGTAATTGTAGAACCAGAAGAGGAAATTATCGAAAAGAATATTCTTCGCTCAGTATTTTTCCCTAAATTATGTATGTGTTTGATTTTATTTATTTATTTTTATTTTATTTTTATTTACAGCTTGATTCCACACCGTATTTTCAGTACAAGTATGGAACTTTCAGCATGGATATCGGTAGCCCAAATTCAGGCCGACCATAGATATCGGGTGTGCGCCGGCAGGGGATCGAACCCCGGACCATGTACATGGTCGGCGAGAGTCCTAACCACTGTGCCACCGACGCACAAATAAACGTATAGAAATGGCCGTCAAATAGTGTTTGTTTGAAAATGTTTTAACAAGTTTTTCACTGCAAGAAACTTTTGGTTTATACTTAGAGTAAGGACTAAAATATGACAAAAAATATCTACATCAGTTGTGACCTGATTAAACATATGTTTCCCAAAGGGGAATCAAAGATCTGTCCGTCTAAGAAGTAAAGGTTTACACGTAAAACCAAGGTTTAGGTCTCTTGTACGTTTAGAATATTTCATACACCATCGTATCCGACTTCAGAATTCTGTTTATTAGGGTTTTAAAGTGTGACACAAAATGTCACAAATTAGTGCTATAGAGCTGTGTAAAATTTTAATTTACTGTCAGTGAGAGTTATTCCCGAAGCAATTTACTATAGTTAATTTCATTGTAAAGTTTTTTACTCTATACCAGGAGAAGCGTATGAAAGCTGATATAAAATAACTACGAAAACTGACGCAACTATAACGGTTTAGACAGTAGTCACGTCGTTTAAACATCTTGAGCTTTCTTAGGAAGGTAGTCAAAAAATTTCTCTCTATAGAATGATTTATTTTTAGGCGGGTTATAGCACTAGACTGACGTTACAGTAGTATTATCCTGTGACAGTGAATTCTGATCTTTGCTTTGTTACTATTGTCATTATTCCCCTGGGTTTTGAGTGGAACATGGAACTTCAGGAGTAAATCTCCATTTAACTATTGCCCACAACCATTCATTTCCTTCTCATAAGATCCTTTTCACAACATTCTCAGACGCCCAACTCGTTGTTTCCGATTCGAGTTCTACTAGAGAGAACATGATATC